AATTATGCCATTAAGAGTGCCGACTTCGTCGCCATTTAACATCCAGACCCCATAAATCAAGTAAGTCACTGTTCTTCAATATTTAAGGTGTTTTCCAAATAGCAGATAGGTGGTTTCAATATATTACTCTGCCCTTTGTATTTATATTGACGTTGACGCCCCGGAGCACTGCTTCGCAACTTATCATAGGAATGTGTGAGGGAAGATTCCTCAACACCTCCTTTAGCTTTTCAGGAAGATTTATAGGGGCAAATAGAAGTTGTTTTCCAAGCTTGAAAGTTGTCAAGAAAAAAGTACTCACAGGTTCATCGCCTAGATGGCATGACGAGGTTTGAAGGCTCTTTGGAAAGGGGTAATACAGCTTGTTAGTCGTGCCATCACAGGTGGTCTTCGGTGCTTCCTGCGTTAGGACAATTCTGACTCCACACCCGTTGTTGCCACAAACGGTGGGCTCAGATATAAAAGTACTCCCAACAAACTGATGGGACCAAGGGGAACCAAATGGACCCCCTAAAAAACCTCCAGAAGTTGGTGAGTCTCAGAGCCCTGAGAAAACTCAACCATAGGATATAGAAAAAATGAATTGTTTATTGGGAATTTTACTTAATGTCATCTGTTGTGGACTATAGATTAACAAAGGGGAAAAGGGAATTATGTCTCTAAAGATGTTATGAACGAGGCAATGGCTAGATACCTTTGAAGTGTATGGCTCTCTCTCTTTTTATATATATAACTCTTTAAAAAACTAATAAACCTTGCCCATCAACAATGGGCAAGCAGAAAAATAGAACTGCAGCATATGTATCTTAATATCCCATTTCCTTGGTGGAGAAGTTCAACAGACCAAAGGGTGATTTCATTCACCCCTCAGGCCATTTGTGCGCCATTTGAGTGATCGAATGATCTGAAGGAATCTCCGTGGGCCAGTGTGGTGAGGTGGTTTGAATCTGCAATCTATCCTGTCATGAAACTTGGGGGGGGGGGTGAGGCCCATCAGCCTAGCCTGCTTCACCACAATCCTGGTTTCCCCCCAAAATGGAAACAGAAGAGCCACATACACTGCCCTAATCTCTTCGAAGGCTGGACTTAAAATGTACTGGACAGATACATCTCAACAGCATTTGGGACTCTCACGATAGCTCACAGGTACTTCACTAAGTTCAATGTGATTTACTTTTTAGTAAGTGTGTGCAGATTTGCTAAACCCTCCTGTGGCCCATTGATTCCAATGAGCTTTGATTGGGTAATTCTGCTTGGGATTGCACTGGAAAGCTCCCACACTCCTGGCTTTCCACAAACTACGCAAAACTGAATTATTCAAGAGGGCTTTTTGTGCAGGAAACAGGGCTGGGCTCTGTAACAATATGGCTCAGAATCTGCTCAGGGGAGAGAGTTTTAGGGACTGTAGACGATACTGCTGTGTTTAAATCACGATACCTGTAACTGGGTTTCCACTACGTAATTTTTGCATTTGTTTAATGTGTCACCTGAATAGTTCTGTTTTGCTTCGCCTTCGTTGGCTCCAGATTCCTATAAATCCAATCCTATTGCCTTGTCTATTGGATGTGGCGTCACTTTGCCTCTTGCTTGCCTTGGCAGTTCCTTGCCAGGGTTGCCATAAGTCGGCTGTGACTCGAGGGTACTTTGTACACACAATCTGAACTGTGGGATGTGGAATGCTATCAATGTTCCCTCTAAGCTGTGCAGCCTTGTGAGCAAAAATTCTGCTTTGTGAGCTACTGGCATTAAAGTTGTGAATGAACACTTTGGGTAGTGCATAAATTAGTTTGCTCTGGAGCCATCCGTCCTGAGCTAGGACAAAAATGCGTGAGCCGGAGGCTAAAAAATTGTGAGCTAGCTCACACTAACTCAGCTTAGAGGGAACACTGAATGCTATGGTATAACCCAGTCTCCTCAGATCTTAGAAGCTAAGGCAGAAATTGCAAGGAACATTGTTGGGTGTTACAAGTTTAAACACTTTCAGTATTTACTGGGTTAATGATGTTTGTTAAGACACATGTTTGTTTGTAACCAATCTGTTTAGATTGTTAGAAAGCCCAGGACCTACGGAGCTAGTTTGTTGTTCTGATTGGAAACCAAAGCGCCAAGTATTAGCATTTTATGGCTTCTCTTCCCGTCTTAGTGTTCTTTGTTCTGACCAAGAAGAAGAAGCCGGCCATTCTGCCATTTCAGTTTGGCTGTAAGGATGTAGACATTTTAGCTCTTTGTTGTTTTATATCCTGTGTACCTTTTCCCATGCAAGGTTGTAGTAAACTTTTATATTTTAAACACGCCATGGACTCTGCCTCTTTAATACTCTGCTAACAAACTTTAAATAAGAATCCCAACAAACATTGTGCAGAGGAAGGCAAGGGCCAACCACCTCTGCTTCTCGTTTGCCTTAAGACCCCCTTGCTGGGGTCACCGGAAGTCAGCTGGGACGATGGCAATTCACACACACATTCCATGCACTTAAGTCCTGTGCTACATCTACTGATAGTATTTGTGGGGGGTACAGAAGGAAAGCGCCGATAGAATGTTTTTGCCCTGGCTGACCTCACTGAAACCCTGTGCTAATTTTATTTGAAATTGCAGTAGCCATTCCAGGTTACTTAAGCAACCAATACCAAGTAGTGTCGGGTCCCCAGAAAACCCAAACCCAAGAAAAGTCAGATTCAAAGAACGTAAGGAGTGCGCAGATGTCTGTGAAACTTCATAAATGGAGGGGCATGGGTTAGAACCCACAGTGCCCTCATTCCACAGTAGAAAGTGCTGCATACCAAAAAAAGGGGGGGGTTATAGCTCTATCTGTAATATCTATAGAAATCCAATAAGGAAGAGACAATTTAGAGAGCTTGAGTCCCAACTAGTGGCCAAAACACAATCAACAACACAAGAAGCAGAGACCAAACCCTGTTACATCCTCAGTAGAGCATCCTACTTGAATTTTAAATATTACAATAACTATATCCCTCAACCTGGACAATAGTGGCTACAGGAAAATGTCCCTAAATTGGAATCTTTACTCCCCCACCCAAAACCCCCAAAATTTAAAGCAGTATCCCTGGACAGGTGTGTACAACATGATCCCTGACTGCATCATTAGTAACAGAATCCTTCCTCAGATTTGCATCTCACTCTCTGTAGGGCACGCCATGGCTATTAATATAGACCCCAAAGTGAAAGTTTCCTCTGCAAAACATCGCACAGGAACCAGGAACAAATTTAATTTGTCTTGATCCCATTTTAGATATTTCTTTCCCGACAATGGTAGTGATGGACAGAGATCTGTTTTCCCCACTGGTCGTTTTTGCAATCTCCTCAGATCTTAGAAGCTAAGGCAGAAATTGCAAGGAACATTGTTGGGTGTTACAAGTTTAAACACTTTCAGTATTTACTGGGTTAATGATGTTTGTTAAGTCACATGTTTGTTTGTAACCAATCTGTTTAGATTGTTAGAAAGCCCAGGAACTACGGAGCTAGTTTGTTGTTCTGATTGGAAACCAAAGTGCCAAGTATTAGCATTTTATGGCTTCTCTTCCCGTCTTAGTGTTCTTTGTTCTGACCAAGAAGAAGAAGCCGGCCATTCTGCCATTTCAATTTGGCTGTAAGGATGTAGACATTTTAGTTCTTTGTTGTTTTATATCCTGTGTACCTTTTCCCATGCAAGGTTGTAGTAAACTTTTATATTTTAAACACGCCATGGACTCTGCCTCTTTAATACTCTGCTAACAAACTTTAAATAAGAATCCCAACAAACATTGTGCAGAGGAAGGCAAGGGCCAACCACCTCTGCTTCTCGTTTGCCTTAAGACCCCCTTGCTGGGGTCACCAGAAGTCAGCTGGGACGATGGCAATTTACACACAAATTCCATGCACTTAAATCCTGTGCTACATCTACTGATGGTATTTGTGAGGGGTACAGAAGGAAAGCTCCGATAGAATGTTTTTGCCCTGGCTTACCTCACTGAAACCCTGTGCTAATTTTATTCTTTACAAACAAATTATCTAAACTCTTCATGTCCCGTCTTTAGGCTGAAGAACAAAGTCTGAGTCGCCCTAATCTGGATTGCCCAGGTCTGCCCAATCATTTCCGATCTTGGAAGCTAGGCAGGGCCAACCTTGGCAAGTTATGTGGATGGGAGACCGCCAGAGAATACCAAGGCTGGGAGACCAGAGGCAGGAAATAGTGGGTTACCAGCTCTGGGTTGGGAAATACCTGGAGACTTTGGGGGTGGATCTGGGAGAGGGCAGGGTTTGGGGAGGGGAGGGGCCTCAGCGTGGTACAATGCCATAGAGTCCACCCTTCAAAGCAACCTTTTTCTCCAGGGGAGCCAATCTCTGTCTGCTGGAGAGATCAGTTGTAAAAGCCGGAGATCTCCAGTCCCAACCTGAAGGCTGGCAACCCTAAGAGCAAGCCACCTCTCTGAAACGTCCCAGCCCAAAAGTCAACCATGACCTCCAGACACACACACACAAAATACTCACCAAAAGAAAAAGAGCAAAGTTTGAGTCCAGGCAGGGGCACCCTCTATGGACCAACCAAGTTTGATTCTGAGTATAAGCTTTCGCGTGCGTGCCCACGGAACTCCCCTAGGGGGCGTGCCAGCTGCACACGAAAACTCACACCCAGAAATTGGCTTGGTCGGTCTTAAAGGCGCCGATGGACTCAAACTTTGTTCTGCCGCTTCAGGCCAACAGGGCTGCCCACCTGCATCTACTTTTAGACCGAAGGCAAAGACTCCCGTTGCAAATCGGCAAAACGCGGTATAATTTGATATGATTCGGCTAGTCAAGCCGGCGCGCACCGAAACGAAAACCCTCCTCCGCAAGTTCTCTTCCAGCCCTTTCCAACGCGGGTCGCCTTTAAGAGGCGCTGCGGCAGCGCTTTGCCACGAGGGGTCAGCCGAGAGCAGCTCTGCGGTTTTCTCCTGTGATTCGGCGCCCGGACAGGGACGGGGCTGGAGGAGGCGCCTGCAGCTTGGGGGCGGCCGCGTCGTTTCCTTTCTCCCGCAGATCCGCTTTCCGTGGGTCGGCGCTCGCGGGTTCGTCTGCGTGCGTCCCCCGAAGGCGAGGCTTGATGGCGGCGGTCCGTGAAGGTCTGAGCCGGGGCAAGACGCTGGTGGATCTGTTCTACGACGTGGTGTCGCCTTACTCCTGGCTTGGGTTCGAGGTCAGAGCAGTGGCGTAGACGCGACTTCGGCGTTCTTACGAAGTTTCCCCTCCGTTCCTCCGCATGCGGCGGAGTAACGGAATGTCACCTGCGTAGCTGTGCAGAGTGGCTTTTTTTAAATGGGCCGTGCACGGCGGCTCTTCTTTGCCCTCCCTGGCCAGAGCTTCGCAAAATCCCCCGAGGGGGCCTCTCTCGCCTTCCTATGGGTTGTGGCTTGGACTTTGCCTCGGTTGGTTTGCCCCGGTTGCAGCCTTTCTCGCTGCAAAGCTGCTGGTCGTCTGTGCTGTTTGTGGGAAAATGAAGAAACCTCCTTGTTTAGGCAAGAGCGGAACCTTATGGGGGAGGCTCGCAACCAATGTTCCGTCTAAGCTGTGGAGTCCTGTGAGCCAAAATCCTACTTTGTGAGCTGCTGGCATTAAAGTTCTGAGCGAGCAATTTGGCTGCTGCATAAATTAGTTTGCTCTGGAGCCCATCCCTTCCTGAGCGGAGACAAAAATCTGTGAGCCGGAGGCTAAACAACCGTGAGCTAGCTCACACTAACTCAGCTTAGAGGGAACACTGCCACCACCTCACTGCTCGCAACTTTAGGGTGCGTCTGCTGGATCAGTGCATGTTGTGCAATGTTGCGGCCTCTTGCCCTTACTAAGTGCAAGTGGCAGAACGCCGGTTGATTTCAGTGGTACCTTTATAGGCCAGCTCACACAGTGAAATCCGGTAGGCGAGTGCATTGGAAGTGGATCGAAGAAGCATTATTTAGTGTGTGTGTGATCGCAGCCAAAGTTTTGTTCAAGGTATGAGCCTTTGTGTGCGTGCAGACTTCTTCAGGTACAGTGAAATGGAAGGTAACAGTTCAAGCTCCTAGAAAGAGGCTGGACAGTAAATGAAGCATGTAGCCTGAGGAAGGTGTTTCAGGGTATGCGGAGACAAAACAGGAATAACAAGTTAAGCTTATAGGGTCAACAGTTGTTTGGATTTAATTCAGGTAAGGGGGAACAACCGTGAAGCAATAAATGTGTCAAAATAGGAGATAAATGTGTCAGGGGTCATTTCGTAGAAAAAGAGGTGCAGGAGCTCATTAGCATAACTCATTAGCATAATTTATTTGCATGTGCCACACCCCCTGACATCACCGGAAGTGTGTCAGAAGGCAACACCCACCGCTCAGGCTCCACTGGACTGTTTTGGATTGCTAGCTATGGGGGGGGGGGGGAAGGGGCCGATTAGATGCATTATTTAGTGTGTGTGATCGCAGCCAAAGTTTTGTTCAAGGTATGAGCTTTTGTGTGCGTGCAGACTTCTTCAGGTACAGTGAAATGGAAGGTAACAGTTCAAGCTCCTAGAAAGAGGCTGAACAGTAAATGAAGCATGCAGCATGAGGAAGGTGTTTCAGGGTATGCGGAGACAAAACAGGAATAACAAGTTAAGCTTATACGGTCAACAGTTGTTTGGATTTAATTCAGTTAAGGGGGAACAACCTGACGCAATAAATGTATCAAAATAGGAGATAAATGTGTATGTAAAAGTATCCTTTCTAAGTGTGAGATGTTAATTGAGACTCCAGTTGCTATGCTCCATTCGTCTCTTCTCGAGCATGGACAGCAGCAACTAACAATATTTTTTTTCTTTTTTGGGGTGGGATGCAGTGTTATGTCAGACAGATACATTTCAGTCTTCATCTCTTGGCTGTGACTTGATGGCAAACACACACACACAACACATCTGATAGAAAGACCATGTAGCCGTTGCAGAGACTGTGTAATGTGTGGATTGGCCCTCTGCTTGCTTGCCATCCTTCAGAGGTATTCACTTCATGTAAATCAGACATCCTTATTCTTCTGCTGGATTCTGGAAAGCATTGTATCGCCCTGGTCACACGGGCACGGGCCGGAAAATGCGGGGGAGGGGGAGGCGTGGCTAATTGCACCGGAGGAAAATAACGTGCGGCAGCCCGATCAGAAGTCCTTTGGAGGTCCCGTGGGTAGGCGTCAGGTGCAGATCAGACAGCTAGTCCGCAGTGCAGCAAAGAAGCAGCACGGCGCGTTCAAACCGGCACTCGCGCCGCGCGGTTCCTGTGGCAAACGCCGCTTCCTGTTTGTGCGCATGCTCCGTTGGGTGCTTGTGCGTCCTGTGGAGACTTGGGAAAAAAAACACCCCTTCTTTGCGACGGGACATGGGTGAGCGCCGGATGCCACGGAAGTCCACCGGAAACGCGGTCAGACACCCACCCTTGCACCGCGGTTTCCGGAAACTAGTACCTCGTAGGTACTAGTTTTTAACTCCGCACCTTCGGCGGGGAGCCACAGGTTCGCCAAGGGAGCACTGTGCTTCCCAGATGTTGAGGTGAGATTGCGCCCGGAAAATCCGCGGGACTCCCGTGCCTCTCCCGCGGCAACTTTGCCATGTGACCGGGGCCTATGTAGATCAAAATTTAAAGCATCACGTTTAGTTCGGCCTATATACTTTAGACCTGGACATGCAGGACTTCAGTTTCCCAACTGAAGTCTCTTTCTGTAAGACTTGTTGTCACTCTTTGAGAGACCTTCTCTTTAATCCTAGATACGGGGATTTGAATCTGGGTCCAGCCGTGGAGTGCACATGCTCAGATGAGGTGCCACTTATGCAGTGCCCTTGGGCTCAGCCCTGACATTGGACGTGGCTTTGATGGTGGAATGCTTGTCCCCTAGCAATTGTTCCTGCCAAGCGCATGTTATCTGGTTGGCAGCTTTCAATTTCCATTCCTAAACATACTACTGCATCTCCCAAGCAAGCCCCAAGTGCATCCAGTTAAAAGTACAGCATGGGGGGGGGCTTTTATTCTGTCCTACCCCCTGAGTGGGCTCAGGGCAGCTTGCGACATCATCCAACACTAAAACTATACATTAGTTAAATAGGTCAGTTCATTCAAACATTAACTCAGTTTAAAATTAGCCAACTAATGGCTTAGCTTAGTGTGCGTCTCTGTATGAATGCAGTTGCAGTGTGGGTGTGAATGGTTCAAAGGTTCTTGGTCCGCATTCCTAAGTGAGAACTAGCACCACCTTTGCTCAGTGTTCAGTGATTTGGAGCTCCGCAGTGGCTCAGGGACTAAGATGCTGAACTGCAGACCGGAAGGTCTGTAGTTTGGCAGTTCGAGACCCTAGCACCGTGTGACGGAGTGAGCTCCTGTCTCTGGCACCAGCTCCTGCCAACCTAGCAGTTCGAAACCAAGACATTGCAAATAGATAAATAGGTTCTGTTTCGGCGGGAAGGTAACAGCGTTCCATGCGCCTCGGCATTTATTCATGCCGGCCACATGACCATGGAGAAGTCTTCGGACAGTGCTGGCTCTTCGGCTTGGAAATGGAGAGGAGCACCGCCCCCTAGAGTCAGATTCAACTGGCTTTCAAGCAAGGGAAACCTCTTGGGGAAATCTTCTTCCTGCCCTGCCCTGGATAGCCCAGGTTAGCGCAGTCTCTTCAGATCTTGGAAGCTAAGCAAGTTCGGCCTTGGCTAGTATTTGGACGGAAGACCGCCAAGGACATCCAAGGTCACTACCCAGAGGCAGGCAGTGGCAAACCAACTCCGAACATCTCTTGCCTTGTAAGCCCTAGAGATTCTTGGGGAAATGCCTCTTTCCAACGTGCCTATGTCACTTCCAGGTGAGGTAGACATGCTGTTTGGGGGGCTAATTTCCCGGCTGAGAGGAGTGTCCCGCAGCCATTTCTCCTCACTTTCTGATAGCACTGAAGCGGGGGAGGAGGGATTCCAAACTGGGCGATCTCCCGCCCTCAGTTGGGGAATGGCAACCCTCCTTGCCATGCCTGTGGTAGGACTCAGAATGGCTCCTACCTCTGGTGTCAGAGTACCAGCACTGGATCTGGAGCAGGGTTCCCCCAGCCTTTATGGGCCGGCAGTCACCTTTAGAATTCTGACACGAGGCGGTCTGTGCGACCACAAAATGGCTGCCAGGAACCGGCAAAAGCGGCTGCTGCTGGAGGCCAAACTGACCTCAGAATGTCAGGGACTGAGGTTATGCCTAATTCTAACAGTAGTGCTTCGTCATTTTGGGCAGAAGCTGTGCTTAACAGGAAGCATTTTTAAAAAGACCCTATTGTTTAAAAAATATTTCCTTGCTGGCATGCAGCTTATCTACCGTCATGTAGTGAAGATCCTTGTGCTGTGGTGAGAGATGCTGTAGAAAAAAGGTGTTGTTGGGGTTTTTTTTGCATCTGCACACCTAATCAGATCTCCAGTGGCCAATTGAAAGTCCTGCTGGGCAAAAGCCACACGTGGCCCACCTACTTTCTGAAAACGTGACAGGTGTCAGGAAAGGTATCCATGGACACCACACTGAGTACCCCTCATCTAGACTGTCTCCACTAGACTGACCGACAGCTGCTCAGTCGATCCATGAATAGAAGCCAGCACAGAGGCAACTTTACCTTGACCTTACAATGCTCCCTCTAAGCTGTGGAGCAAAAATTCTACTTTGTGAGCTACGGGCATCAAAGTTGTGAGCAAGCAATTTGGCTACTGCAAAAATTGGTTTGCTCTGGAGCCATCCTTCCTGAGCGGAGACAAAAATGTGTGAGCTGGAGGCTAAAAAATCGTGAGCCAGCTCACACTAACTCAGCTTAGAGGGAACACTGAATTGGGGTGATAAGAGACCATCCAGTCTCCCCTCTTTTGGCAAGGCTTTGATGGTCTGTCTCTCTGTTGGGTTTTGCCAGTGTCACCTCTTCAGTCATGAAAAGGTTAAGCTAAAGCCCCTGTGAGCTAACAATAGCAAGTTTAGCATAGAACCAGTTAGGTGTACAGTGGATTCTTCCCACCAAAACGGGGGAGGTCTTATTCTTAATGAAGTGACCTTAAGATTGACTATTGGCTAATCAATATTGACTATTGGCTAATCAATATATTGGAGATAGTCAGAGGTCATTTCGGGGGGGAACGCGGGGGATCGCAGTTCCCCCGGGTGAGGTGTAGGGGGGCGGGGTACACAACAAAGCCCCGCCCCCTTCTTCCGGCAGCCCCCTGCTTCCAGCTTCATTCTGTTGCAGGAGGAGGAAGAAGCAGGAGGGTACGTTGGCGTCCTCCCCCTCTGCCTGGCCGAGGCCACTCCATGAGGCCTCCGCAAGGACTCCCAGTCCCATCCAGGAGCTTCCCCGAGGTAGCTGTGTTAGTCTGTTGCTGCAAAATAGTCCAATTCATATAGCACCTTTAAGACTAACAAATAGCACCTTTAAGACTAACCTTTAAGACTAAGACTAACTGAGGGGTGACACACTTCCGGTGATGGCAGGGGGTGTGGCATATGCTAATGAGTTATGCTAATGAGTTCCCCTAGCTCTTTTTCTACGAAACGACCCCTGGAGATAGTTCATGCTATTCTGCAAGCACACAAGGGGCGGAGCTTTGGGGGGGAGGAACTTCCATTCCTTCCTTGTTAGGGTCAGAGGGCGCAAAGAAACAAGATGGAGTAGGTCAGAGCTAGAAAAATGAGTTAGACGTTGTTTTCTTTCCATGTAATCCTCTCCTTAATTTTGAAATGAGCTTTTTTTCTTCGAAGTTAAACACTCAGGTGCCTGTGCTGCATTATTCCACTGTGCTTCCTTTAGTCTGCTAAATATCCGCCACTCTGCCTTGCCTGATCCCAAAGGAATCCTCATCCAACTGTGCGAACGGCGAAGTCCACTGTGTGAAGCCACCCTCCGGGGAATTTTCCTCTCTGTGTTCCAGCTGGTCTTGGTTCCGTGCCAACTTAGGTGTCCCTCAGGCCAAGTGTGTGTATATCCGTTACTTAGTTTGGCGAGAGCCAGTTTGGTGAAGTGGCTAAGTGTGCAGACTCTAATCTGGGCACACAAGGGGCGGAGCTTTTGGGGGGAGGAACTTCCATTCCTTCCTTGTTAGAGTCATAGGGAACAAAGAAACAAGATGGAGTAGGCCAGAACTAGAAAAATGAGTTAGATGTTTTCTTTCCATGTAATCCTCTCCTTAATTTTGAAATGAGCTTTGTTCTTCGAAGTTAAAAACACAGGTGTCTGTGCTGCATTATTCCACTGTGCTTCGTTTAGTCTGCTAAATATCCACCACTCTGCCTTGCCTGATCCCAAAAGAATCCTCAGCCAACTGTGCGGATGGCGAAGTCCATTGTGTGAAGGCACCCTCCTGGGAATTTTCCTCTCTGTGTTCCTGCTGGTCTTGGCCGTGCCAACTTAGGTGTCCCTCAGGCCAAGTGTGTGTATATCTGTTACTCAGTTTGGCGAGAGCCAGTTTGGTGCAGTGGCTAAGTGTGCAGACTCTAATCTGAGGGGACCAGGTTTGAGTCCCCCACTCCTCCACTTGCACCTGGCTGGATGACCTTGGGCATTGGTGGGATCATGAAGGAGACAGGTAGGTGGACAGTATAACAATGGAATTGAGTCACAGGTGCTGTGTGTAGCAGAGGTTATGTGACAAAAGATTCTACTGAGAAGTGATCTTCAACCCCTGACTTTTGAAGTTCGGAATAGGCTACAGGTGTTACAGAAGCATTTCGTGTTGGTCATGTTTCCTCAATGCCATCTTATCCTGGGTTGTGGGGAGGGGAAGGGGAAGGAGTTTGTAAGCCGCTCTGAGACTCCTTTGGGTAGTGAAGGGCGGGGTATAAATCCAATCTCTTCTTCTCTTCTTCAGTTCACACTTTGCATCCAGGGAAGTCAGCTGTTGCCCTGGCAAACCCATTGGTTTCACAGCTACTACATTTTTACATTTGCTTAGCGGAAATTTGCTTTCTGGTCTCTGACTGCCAGCTTCGGATGTCCCCCCCCCCCAGTGTGCTGGAGACAGTGGCCTACTGCTAACCAGTGTATTTATTGTTCTCTCTCTTGTAGGTTCTATGTCGATACCGGTCCATCTGGAACATTGAGCTGCGCTTGCGGCCTGCTTTCCTGGGTGGGATCATGAAGGCGACAGGTAGGTGGTAGGTGGACAGTATAACAATTGAATTGATTCACAGGTGGTGTGTGTAGCAGTGGTTATGTGACAAAAGATTCTACTGAGAAGTGATCTTCAACCCCTGACTTTTCAAGTTTGGTATAGGCTGCAGGTGTTCCAGAAGCATTTCGTGTTGGTCATGTTTCCTCAGTGCCATCTTATCCTGGGAAGAGTGCTGCTAAGAACAGCAGAAGAGCCTTGCTGCATCAGAACAGGGGTCCGTCTTGTCCAGCCTCCTGTCTCACACAGTGGCCAACCAGTTCCCCTGGATGGCTAGCAACAGGGCAGAGAGGCCAAGGCCTTCATAAGAACACAAGAAGAGCCTTGCTGGGTCAGATTAGTGGTCCATCTAGTCCAGCATCCTGTCTCACACATGGGCCAGCAACAGGGCAGAGAGGCCAAGGCCTTCATAAGAACACAAGAAGAGCCTTGCTGGGTCAGATTAGTGGTCCATCTAGTCCAGCATCCTGTCTCACACATGGGCCAGCAAGTTCCCCTGGAGGGCCAGCAACAGGGCAAGAGAGGCCAAGGCCTTTTCCTGATGTTGCCTCCTGGGTCTGGGATTCAGAGGTTGACTGCTTCTGAATGTGGAGGTTCCCCTCAGTCACCCTGGCTTGTGGCCACTGAGAACTTCCTGCAAGAATCCATCGAATCCCTTTTTAAAGCTGTCTGTGCCTGTGGCCATCTCAACATCCTCTGGTGGAGAATTCCACATTTTGATCACTTGCTACGTAAAGAAGTGTTTCCTTTTGTAGATCCTTCCACTGGCCTGATCCAGCGAGGCTCTTCTTATGTTCTTATTGTCGCGCAGTGCGTGTGGTAGTATGAAACAGCACCTGAGTCACGTTTGCACTCTCAGCAGTCTTTCTCTCACCAGAGGCTTCCAATAGTAAACCACACTTACTCAGTCCAGTGGTAACTATATACAGGAATTTATTTACAGTATTTACAGCCCTCCAACAAAGTGCTTCGCCAGACTCCATCCACCATTAAGGGGAAATATACAGTGGTACATTGCTACATATATACACATGACCAGCCAATCAGAACAGTGCTGACTCATTCTGACTGTGCCTCAGCTCTGCCCAATCCAAACTGGCTGAATCTAGATTATTACAGCTGTCAAGCTGTCAAGAAGATCTTAGAGATCTAGGTGCTGAAACTTATACACCAACACTTATGGCCTGTTGCTGGCCCTCCAGAGGAACTTGTTGGCCACTGTTTGAGCACAGGATGCTGGACTAGATGGACCACTGGCCTGATCCAGTGGGTCTCTTCTTATGCTCTTATGGCCTGTTGCTGGCCATCTAGAGGAACTGTTTGATCACTGTGTGAGACAAGATGCTGGACTAGATGGACCACTGGTCTGATCCAGCAGGGCTCTTCTTGTGTTCTTAAGATACACTGATCAGATTGGGAGGGCGCTCAGAAAGACTGCCACAGTTTTGGGTTCTGTGAAGACAATTAGAAAGACTGTCAGAATGTTGGGTCTCTGTGAAGCTGGCTTTACGGCCTTGTGCTTGGGGTTACCCCGTGAGGGTAAGACGCAGGCTGATTCGTTCTCCCATCTTGATGGAGGAATGCGGGGTGGGTGCCCCCAGTGTGGATTCTTCTTCCCCTGTGACACGGTGTCCTTCTCTACAGGTAACCAGCCTCCGGCAATGGTCCCCCAAAGAGCCAGTTACATGAGCAAGGACATGCCGCGGATGGCAAAATACTACCAAGTGCCAGTGCGAAACCCAAAGGATTTCTTGGAGGCCGTTATCAAAAAGGGTAAGGAACTAAAGCCACCTAGTCTCCTGGAAAAGGGTCGTGGTCTCTTTCCTGGCATCTCCGGTTCAAATTACCAGGCGGCAGGTGACGGGAAGGAGCTCTGCCTGAGACTCTGAAGAGCAGCTGCCTGTCAGAGCAGGCAAGACTGACACTGATAAACCCAGGGTCTGACTCAGTAGGAAGCAGCTTCATGTTTCTGTCTACCTCTCCCTGCATTTATGAGTTATTAGGCCACAGGTGCCCCAGCATGGTGTCCATGGGCACCACAGCGCCCACCAAGTGTTTTTTTAGGAAGGGGGGTGGGTCCAGGTAGGGCTGTTGCCCAACAAGACTTCTGACCAGCCACTGGAGACTTGATGGGCTGTGATTTTTAAAAAATGTTGCTTTGGCAGCAGCTGCCACCACAGCAAGGAGCTGCGGTGGCTCAAGTGGTTAAGATGCTGAACTGCAGGCTGTGGAAGGTCGGTAGTTCAGCAGTTCGAGACCCGAGTGTGCCGCAGGACGGAGTGAGCTCCCGTCTCTGGTTCCAGCTCCTGCCAACCTAGCAGTTCAAAAGCAAGAAATTGCAAGTAGATAAGTAGGTACCACTTCGGTGGGAAGGGAGCAGCGTTCCGTGCGCCTTGGTGTTTAGTCATGCCGGCCACATGACCACGGAAACGTCTTCGGACGGCGCTGGCTCTTCGGCTTTGAAACGGAGATGAGCACCGCAACCCTAGAGTCGGAATCGACTGGCTTTCGAGCAAGGCTTTAAGGCCACCACAGCATGAAAATCTGTACTGTGATACTGAAGTGAAGCTGCGGCAATCGTTTTGTGGCCGGCCCCGCCTCCCGTGGCAGCCATTTTTCTGGCCGTGCCCACCATGCTGTAGCAGAATTTCAAATGTGCCCGTAGGCCCAAAAAAGGTTGGGAACTCCTGTATTAGGCATTATGATACCTGACAAAAGTGGGCTAAATATTCTTCTTGGGGAACACCCTGGCAGACTTTAACCTGTATGGGGTAGAAACAAGGAAGGAAGGGTGAAGTGCCAGGTATAAGGAGGTCATAGGGGTGGGCGGCTGAGATCCCTGGGAATAGAATGCGGGGTGTGCCATGCGAAGGCTGCACAGTGTGGCTTTGGTGACCCAGGGTGCAAGGCCGGTTTCTGAATGGATTAATGCAGTGCTTTGCACGGCTGTGCTTTCTTTTCTTTGAAACCAAAATCTGTGATGTTTTGTAGGAGCAGATGGAGGAATGTTGGATCAAGACGTTTAAAATTCAGGAAACCTGAGTGGATTTTGGTGCGGGCCTTGTTGAGTGGCTTCCCCTTTTTGTTAATTTTCAGAAGAGGAGCCTTTTTTGCTAGTGCTGAGTGCCATTTCCCTGAACCTGTCGAAATTTATGTTTTTGAGATCTCTCTTGCTTTTTACCATCTCTCTCTTTTTTTTTTTTAAACCACCTCTATGATTAAAAGCCCTTTGTGGCTGCGATCACACACACAAAATAATCCGCTTTCAGTCCACTTTCTAACTGGCAGTGGACTTTCCAGCTGGCAAAATCCAGTTGGAAAGTGCATTGAAAGTGGGTTATTTAGTGTATGTGATCGCAGCCTCAGACAGCCTCCCAGAAACTATTACTGAAACTGACTGCCCGCAGTTTGAGGAAAGCATATGTATTTAGTGCATTTTTACCTCACCAAGGAGTAGGGCTGCCAAATCGGGCCGGGGGGCGGGGAAACCCCCGTTTTGGAGGCCCGATTTCCACCGCGGCGGAATCGGGCCCGGGGAAAACCCCACCCCCGCATGCACGTCACAGGGAAGTGACGTCATGATGCTGGGGGCGAGGCCACAGCCATTTGAGGGGAAAACTCTATGTTTTCCCCTCAAGTGGCAGCCCTGTGACGTGCATGCGGCGCGCCGGGAGCCGGGCTGGAGTCCCCCGCCGCAAGGGTAAGTGCCATTTGGCAACCCTACCAAGGAGCGCCGGGGGGCCTTCAAAGTTCTCTGCCTTCCTCCGCTTTACCTTCACAACAACCCTGTGAGGTAGCTTAGGTGGAGAGAGAATGTGACTGGCCCCAGCAGGCTCCCATGGCAGAGTGGGATAAAAATCCTGGTCTCATAAGAACATAAGAGAAGCCAATTGTCAGTTAACACTGCCATTCTCTGGAATTTGGTGGGGGGGAATCCTCCTGGCCTCTGCCTGGTACACTAACGAAGTCTACTACCTGGGTTTTATCTGCTTTTGCTTTTCTGACTTTGGATGTGCCAGCTGCTACGGACTCGCTGGGAGCAAACGGTTTCTCCTTTTGCCTGCGCACACGAACTTTGCTTATTGGCCTTTGCTGGGGGTGGTGGTGTTGAACCTAGTATAATTCAGGGTGCCCTGCTGCTTTGGGCCATTCCTGACACAAGAAGTACACGTGTCATAGTTGTGAACTACCAATAAACAGAATTCTTCTTATGAAGCGCTGTGTGGTGTGATCTGACTATCGAACCCTGACACCAATGTTGGATCAGGCCAGTGGCCCATCCAGTCCCAACACTCTGTGTCACGCAGTGGCCGAAAATTCCAGGTCCTCGTTCCGGATAACCTTTTCTCATTTCACATTCATGCAGACTCCCTGATCCCTGTGTAAGTTTTTCTCTCTCTGTTTCCCCCACACAGGCAGTCTGCCTGCCATGCGCTTTGTTAGTGCTGTGGATATAGCGCAGCCGCAGTACCTGGAGCCTGTTTCTAGAGAACTTTGGATGCGCATTTGGTGTCGAGTAAGTATTCTTTTGGATCGGGGCTTTTGATGTGATGTCTCTGTGCCCCTCGCTGTTAAGTTCTCAGGATGCTTTGGCAAGAAGCCTGAAATGGCCTCGGCCAGGTTTACACAACACTTGATCCCTCAAGCCAAATGCAGCCACATAGGATTGATTTATGGCCACCTGAGGCTTTGTTAAACCTCCTGGGTTAACTGCCTGCTCAAGATTGTAAAAAAGAAGGAGGTTTGGGAAGCACCTGATAGGTCAAGATACTTGCCTTCCATTGCCAACTGGCTGGGAGAAAATGTCCTGCCCCTTTAATAGAGGTTTACAGCCAAAATAAACATGACTGTCTTTAAAGAATTCAGTCTGGGTTCCCTGGACCCAACTTGTGTTCTCTGTGGTCACAAAGCAGCTGTGGGGAATTGCTTCTGGGCAGGGGAGGTGGTGGTGTGTGTGTGTTCCAATTAAAATGACCAGGCAACAGGTGCCATTAAAGATTTCTGCTTGAGACCCTGGAGAGCCGCTGCCAGTCTGAGTGGTCTGATTCAGTGTAAGACAGCTTCACGTGTGTAAACATGCTCGGAATGGCACCGCAGGGGGAGGAAGAGCCAGTTTGGTGTGGTTAGGAGCACGGACTCTAATCTGGGAGAACTGGGTTTGATTCCCCACTCCTCCACACGCAGCTGTTGGTGCGACCTTAGGTCAGTCATAAGTTCTTTCAGAGCTGTTCTCTCAAGGGCAGTTCTCAAAAGAGCTCTCTGAGCCCCACTTACCTCACAGGGTGTCTGTTGTGGGGAGGGGAAAGGCAAGGAGATTGCAAGCCAATCTGAGACGCCTTTGGGTCATGAAGGGTGGGGTCTAAATCCAATCTCTTCTTCTTCCTGCCTCCCCTCTCACTGTTTTCCTGTGCGAAAACCATGCTGGCAGAGTTGTCTCCCTGATCTTAGTGATCCACATGGAGTGTTCTGCATGTGGAGCAGCAAAATTGTGGAAATACCTCCCCCCAGGGTGCGGCTTTCACAAGCTTAAATGGCTGGGCGGAGGGAGGCAGGGGCTCTTCCTTCCGCCCAAAGGTGCCATTCATCTGCTTTAAAAAAATTTAAGAGCCCACTCCCCACAGTTGCTGTGTAAACTCTTTAAAAACTGTAATGTTTAGTTTGGCCTTAATGTGGAAATGAAATGATTGAAGCTTTTGATGGCATGGAGGTAAATAAAATCACCTGATAACTGGTTGCGGATCAACCTGGTATTACAGGGACCTTTAGAGGATTGGATCCTGCCAACCTAGCAGTTAGAAAGCAAGAAATTGCAAGTAGATAAATAGGTACCACTTCGGTGGGAAGGGAACAGAGTTCCGTGCACCTTGGTGTTTAGTCATGCCGGCCACGTGAGCACGGAAACGTCTTCGGACAGCGCTGGCTCTTTGGCTTTGAAACGGAGATGAGCACCGCAACCCTAGAGTCGGATTCGACTGGCTTTCGAGCAAGGGAACCTTTACCTTTACCTTAGAGGATTAGTTTAAAAGGTGGGACTAATTTAAAAAAGCCAACTCATGAGTTGTGTTCTGGCTGTTTCGCCACAAGTTGTGCAGGTCCAGAGCATATGGAATGGTAAAATAAGAAATTTTAAGTAGCCGTCTGAAGCCCCCAATTCCAGGCCTTCCAGTGAAGGACTCCTTCCCCTTCTCCTCTGATTCCTCTTCAGTCATTGAAGGTTCGGGTAATGGGATTTTTTCACGTGTTGTAATTGGCACCGGTCAAGTGAACTGTCTCCTTTCAGCACTGTTACAGCTTTTAAAAAGCGTCAGTTCTTTTGCAAGGTTTACTTTTTAGCCAGTTAGTTCCTTGCTCATAAGTCTTCATAACCCGTCACCTTCTCTCTCTCCAGGATGAAGACATTCTCCAGCCAGAGAGTATCTTGGCAGTAAGTTCCTTCTCCTTTCTTGCTTTTGTTTCAGCCGTGGTTTTCTGTCAGCTTACGGGGGTCTAGTGGAGTCCCGGTGGGGGCAGAGCTTGGCCACAGTGTGGCTGTTGGATACCTTCCATCTTGTCTTCCTCTCATTTCTCGGCTCTCCTGAGTGTGTTGGAGGGAAGAGTGGAGGAAAAACGTGTGTCGTTTCGTGCACGTTGTTTCTTTCCCTCCCCTTCCTAGTTGTGGATTTCTTGAGGTTCCCAGGAATTTTTCAATTTAACAAACAGATATATCTGAGTGGGAACAACACAACACAGGATAAGAGACATAGGACATGCAATTCAACCTGAAAACTGGGCAAAGATTTGGAAATCTGTTAAGGTTATGAGGACCACTAGCTTTAAAGAAAACGTTTTCAAAATGTTTCATAGATGGTATTGGCCACCAGAAAGAATAGCAAAATGTTATACAAATTGTTCCAATATTTGCTGGAAGTGTAAGGCAAATGTAGGAACATTTTATCATATTTGGTGGCGGTGCATAAGAATACAGAAATATTGGAAAGTTATTCAGAATTTAATATATGAAATAGTGAGGGTGAAACTTGACTTGGTGCCTGAAATATTTCTATTAAGTATGATTCCAGATAATTTAAATTATAATGAAAAATATTTAGTACTGTATAATTACAACCGCAAGGATATTATGGGCGAAATATTGGAAACAAGAAAATAACCCAAAACAGGACGAAGTGGTAGTGAAACTGATGGGAATTGCGGAAATGGATAAACTGAGCCTAATATTACAGGAGAAAGACAATGAAATATTTGCGAAAAGATGGTCGGGAATGTACAATTGGCTAGAAAAGTAGATGTGAGACTCTAAAATGTATAGATACAAATGAATTAATATGTTTGAAAAACAAAAAATAAATATTTCTTTAAAAACCAGTCCTTGTGTAGTCTAGGCCGGTGGACTTCAAATTTTTCCTGGACCCATCACTAACAGGAAGTACGTGGCAGGAAGTTGTGTGCCGTCAATCATGGGACTGGAAGAACTAGAGTGATGACCTCACTGGTGTCCAGGCCGAAACCATGGACAGACTTGAGAGCTGGGGACAGGAAACACGAGCTGAATGCTAGAAAGTGTACCACAGTGAGGAGCGAGCTGAGGGCCAGAGACTTGGAGGCAGCAGTCAAAATGGCTACTGCGTGAGGGCTCATGATCTGGTAGAAGTGGTTCTGTTACCCAGCTTAGGATCCTGAGCCACTGACGGCAGCTCACTGCCCAAGGCTAGAGGCCGCAGCATTTACCTTACAATCCAGAGAATGAGATTGGTGCTCAAGCATTCAGAATGTCCCCAGAAGGACATGTGTATTTTTGTGTGAGGGAAAGTCTATAGCGCAATGTGTCACTTAAACAGGCAACAGTGCTGTTGAATAGTGGGTTCCATGGATGAGCAGACGCCAGGTCTAGTGATCAGCTCTACTTTATTAGTGATTTCAGGAAGAACAAGACAACAGCACCTCAGCTCTGTTAAATAGCATGCAATTGCCACACCCAAACACACACTACTCCCAATGATAGGCTTATTTACGTAACATTACTACTTGATTGGTTACTTCCAGAGTCCAGGTAGGCTATTGTTCTTGTGCCCCAAGCTCAGCCAGTCTCTGGTGTGACTGACCTGGAATGATTCAGTCCCAATACATAACAGATGCTCTGTATTACTGGTGCTGGGGGTGGGGGGAGTCACAGTGAGAGGGCTTTTGCAGTTCTGGCCCTACAGGTGGAGCTCCTGACGGCACCTGGTTTTTGGCCACTGTGAGACACCAGAGTGCTGGCCTGGATGGGCCACTGGCCTGATCCAACATGGCTTCTCTTATGTTCTTGGATTGCGGCCACAAGATAGAGTCCTGGCCTCAGTGACTTTAAAGGGGGGGTGATTAGACAAATTCATAGAGGAGGATAGGCCTATCAGCCGCTTATTGACCATGAAGGCCAAATAGAAGCTCCATAGTTGGAGGCTGTGTGCGTCTGAATCAGTGTTCCCTCTAAGCTGAGTTAGTGTGAGCTAGGTCACAGTTTTTTAGCCTCCGGCTCACACATTTTTGTCTTAGCTCAGGAAGGAGGGCTCCAGAGCAAACTGATTTATGCAGCAGCCAAATCGCTCGCTCACAACTTTCATTCCAGTGGCTCACAAAGTAGAATTTTTGCTCACAAGACTCCACAGCTAAGAGGGAACATTGGACTCTGAATATCCATTTCTTGGGGGCAAACCGCAGAGGACAGCTGCTGCTGACACGTCCTGTGTTTGGACCTCCGGGACCCCTTAGCCCTTGCCAGAAACAGAACCAGGTGGACCTTTTGTGTGATCCAGCCAGGCTGCCCCTCTGCTGTACCTCACATGCAGAAGATCCAGTCCCTCTCATCCCCAGTTAGCGAGGCGAAGAGAGACTTATCCCGATACTCCAGAGAGTCAGTGGCCCAGATGCTGTGCGAGACAGCTTCAGGTGTGGCAAGGGAGTGTGCACTGTAGCGAACTCAAATGGTTTTTACGCAGTTCAGATCTGTCACCCTGCCTTCTGCGTGATTGTGTGTCTGTTTCTCAGGCAGCGGAGAAAGCGGGTGTCCCCCTGGAGCAAGCCAAGAAGCTCCTGGACATATCCCGATACTCCAGAGAGCCAGTGCTGGTGGGAATCAGCGGCCCAGATGCTGTGCAAGACAGCTTCAGGTGTGGCAAGGGAGTGCGCGCTGTAGCGAACGCGAATGGTTTTTGCACACTTCAGATCTGTCCCCCTGACACTTGATATCCCATTAAGCACCACAGAGTCTGCCTTCTGCGTGACTGTGTGTCTGTCTCTCTCAGGCAGCGGAGAAAGCGGGTGTCCCTCTGGAGCAAGCCAAGAAGCTCCTGGACATGAGTACCACACCTGAAGTGAAGAATCGCCTGAAAACCATCACAGACGAAGCTCTGAGATACGGGGTGAGCGGCCAGTACCACTTCAGGGGCAATCCTTTTGGAACAGCGGGGTGGCTTTTGTGGCAGGGGCCCTTTTCTGGAGGGAATCGAGTGCTGAGGAATCCAGACCCTTTAGTGAGGGCTCTGCTGAGAGCCCCCACAAGCCTCTCAGCGAAGCTTCGCTCGGGGGGGGGGGTCGGGTCTCCTTGCATAACAAACCACACAACGTCTGATTTGGAGAACGGGGTTTGATTCCCCACTCCTCTGCATGAAGCCAGCTGGGTGTCCTTGGGCCAGTCACAGTTCTCTCAGAGCTCCCTCAGCCCCACCTACCTCACAGGGTGCCTGTTGTGGCGAGAGGAAGGGAAAGGCGATGGTAAGCTGCTCTGAGACTCCTTTGGGTAGTGAAAAGTGGGGTATAAATCCAACTCTCTTCCTCCTCCTCCTGCTGGTGCTGCTGGCCAGGGTCTCTGGAGTTTTGTCCCCCTGGCCTCACTCCGCTTTGAGTGCCCTGAACTAGCCACTTGATGAGGCAGTGGGCCTTATCTGTCTTCCTTTAAAGGAAGGTGCATTGAAGCTGGCATGTGACAAAAATGAAAGTTTCCTTCAGACCCGTACAAACCATTATTTTGATGGCACAGGCAACAGATTGTTCCACTGGCTTTATTTATACCCCACTTTGCTTCCCAGTGAGGACCCAGGGTGGCATACCCCACCTTCCTCTCCTCCACGTTATCCTCACAACAACCCTGTGAGGTAGATTAAGACGAGGGTATGTGACTGGCCCAAGACCAACAGAACCAAAAGGGGGAACTGTCAGATAATAGATGACTGATTTGTTGTACAAAGTCCCTACATGTTTCGCCATACAGGCCTCATCATGGGGGGGGGGGGATCGGAACATTAGATTGCTTTTTATTTTATTTTTAATAAGTTTTCTTTATCAGTTTTCACTACATACCAAAAATAAAAATAAACATAGTACATAAGAGTACATAAGACAACAGTTTTGGAGTTTAAACGAAGCATTTTTTCCAATCAATTTGTTAACTTTATGCCATCTTTTTTGAAGCCCGTGTTCTTCTTTCCCTGATAGTATCATATTTAATTTATCCATTTCCATTAATTCGCAATTTTTTATAATTAACTCTTCTCTACTGGGTAATACATCCGTTTTCCAACATTTTGCAACAAGAGTTCTTGACAAAGTAAGTATATATAATATTAGAGTCCACGCACTTAACCACTACACCAAACAAAGCCCGCACAACAAAATTTATAGGGACTTTGTATAACAAACCAGTCATCTATCACCTGGCATATTTTCCTTTTTGTTCTGTTGGCACATTGCTGGGTGCAGCCCAGTTTTTCTTCATCCTTGGATGGCCCAAGATCACCCAGCAAGCTTCTAAGACAGACGGGGGAATCAAACGTGGCCTTCCCAGACTATTCCCCCCCCCCTTGGGCTGGATTTGGTCTGGAGGCAGCAGTCCTCAGACCTTCCCTCTGGTACCTGGTTCTGATTCTCTCTCATTCTGTGCAGAAGAAGAAAGAGCCTTGGCAGATAATCCAGACTTTCATTCAGTTTATTTGGAAGATTGGTTCCCTTTTCTTTTTTTTTCTTTTTTTAAATTAAAATTTTTATTTTATTTCAACTAAAACAATACACAGACGTTCATGTTTGTCAACAACAATAGTACTCAACAAGACAACTGCATAAGTATATACGAACTTTGAAATAGTTTACATGTGGGTGGAAAACGTCATAATATTTTTTAGGAACATTGAATGTAGAGAACTCAGAATTAAACATATGTTCAAGAAGAGGGAACCGTTTCAAATGAAGATTAGGATTTTTACATGAGAGGTTTGTATTAACTGTTGCCTCGGATGTTTTATCCATGGCATAATCATCCCATATTTTCAAACGCCACGAGGACAGTAATAACCTATTTGGGGATTTCTAACATTGGTTCCCTTTTCTCGAACATATGGAAAGACATAGTAAGCTTAAAAAGGCACTTCCTGATAATTTGAAGGTCATAGCTGTATATTATTGAATGGCTGTTTGGTTTTATCGCTCTTGTGTTTTTTGTGTGTGTGTTTGTAATTATGTTGTTGTGGTGGTGGTTTCCTAATAGTATGCGCTATGTAAATTGTCATGTAAATAAAAGTTTATTAAAGGGGGGGGGAGAACAAAGAGGCTTTCAAAACCCTTCTGAGGGTGCCTTCAGACAATCCATGAAAGAGGAGACACAAGGAAGTTGTGGCTTCTGCTCCCACAATTCCTAGCACAATGTAGCCAGCAAACTTGCACTTCCTTTTTTTCAAAACGAAAAGCGGTAGAGAAGAACCCAAGGCCAGTGAACTGCAGTAATGGCAACCATAGCGAATGGGGCAGTCTTCGAGTAGACTGAGGGGCTGGGGCGGGGGAAGACTACCCAAAAGTGTGTGCCGCCATTTGGCCTTCTAGTTCACCTTCCGGGTGACATACGGCATCCCCCCCTGTCCTGTGGTACACCCCCACCTCGGAAAATTAAGAGACAAAGTGTGTCTGCTTTTCAGGCGTTCGGGCTGCCCTCTGTCGTGGCCCACGTGAATGGCGAGCCTCAACTTTTCTTCGGTTCAGATCGCTTGGAACTGCTGGCCGACATTTTGGGTGAGTGCATTGAATGCAACTGCTCTCTTTTTATTGAAGAGGCCATGGCCAACCACCTCACCTCATCTCTTGCCTTGGAAACCCCAGAGTCCTGGGGTGGCCACGAGTCATTTGTGATTCTACAGTCTGTTCTTGTGCACAGGGTGAATAGCCCTGAGTAGCCTGATCTTGTCAGATCTCGGAAGCTAAGCAGGGTCGGCCCTGGTTAGCACTTGGATGGGAGACCACCTAGGAAGTCCAGGGTTGCAACGCAGAGGAAGGCAATGGCAGAACCACCTCTCAATGGCTCTTGCCTTGGAAACCCCATAGTCCTGGGGTGGCCATGTGATTTACAGTATGTTCTTCTACGCAGAGTGAATAGCCCTGACTAGCCTGGTCCTGTCACAGCTCGGTAGCTAAGCAGGGTTGGTCCTGATTAGTCCTTGGATGGGAGACCATCAAGGAAGGTCAGGGTTGCTATGCAGAGGCAGGCGTTGGCCAAACCACCTCTGTTCACCTCTGGCCTTGATCTGGTTGGCCCAGGCTGGCCCAATCTTGTCAGACCTCAGAAGCTAAACAGGGTCGGCCCTGGTGAGCACTTGGATGGGAGACCACTGAGGAAGGCCAGGGTTGCTATGCAGAGGCAGGCAATGGCCAAACCACCTCTGTTCACCTCTGGCCTTGATCTGGTTGGCCCAGGCTGGCCCAATCTTGTCAGACCTCAGAAGCTAAGCAGGGTCGGCCCTGGTGAGCACTTGGATGGGAGACCAGCAAGGAAGGCCAGGGTTGCTGTGCAGAGGCAAGCAGTGGCAATCCCAACTCTTGAATGTCTCTTGCCTTGTCACTGTCACAGGAAGTGGTGGCGGCTACAAGCATGGACGGCTTCAAGAGGGAATTAGATAAGCATATGGAGCAGAGGTCCATCAGTGGCTATTAGCCACAAGGTATAGATAGGGGCTCTGGGGCAAGTGATGCTCTGTCATCTTGGTGCTTGGGGGGGGGGTCAACAGTGGGAGGGCTTCTAATGTCCTGGTTCCACTGGTGGACTTCCTGATGGCACCTGGTATTTCTGGCCACTGAGTGACACAGAGTGTTGGACTGGATGGGCCTTTGGCCTGATCCAACATTGGCGTCTCTTATGTTCTTATGCCTTGGATACCTCATGATCCTGGGGTGGCCATGAGCTGGTTGCCACTTGAGGGCACCCACTTAATCTGTTGACAATGGTTTGCCACTTACTAGGATTGCGTGTAGACCCAACTGTTGCTTTCATCTGACCGATGTGTTTCACAGGAGAGAAATGGCTGGGGCCAGTGCCCGCATCTGCCAAGCTCTAACTACGAGAAATCAGAGGAACAGCAGTGGGGGGTATGACTAAGCGAGAAGACAGACTCGGGAGCTTTGACCCTATGAGCTTTCACGGATTCAGCGCAGGAGGATCGATGGACAAAGCACACAGCCTTTCTTTAATCTGGAGCAGAATGACACAAGACAGCGCAGCCCCTGCTGCTGCAGAAAGCAGCACCGCAACCGCCTCCGACCGCAGTGTGACTCGACGTGGGCTAGTTGCGCACCTGGTGCCGATCTCATGTGCTCTAGACCTGTGGCCCAGCGGACATATGAGCGTGACTTTGGAGGCGTTCGTGTATCGCCATCTGACCAGTCGATCCCTGTTTTCCAACTGCACTAGCATGGCCGGTCGAGAGCCACCAGTGCTCACAGCTGTGATCAGGAGATGCGAATGATTCGTCACCGAAACGTGCGAGCGAACGAGGAATCGGCGACTTGTTCGTCTTGTGGGGTGAGACAGCGGGGCCAAGAGGAAAGGGGTGTGGGGTAACCTGGGCTTTCTGGCCTAGTGACTAGGTTTCGGAGAGGAGATGGAGATGGAGAAGCAGCTGTTCTCTGCAGCAGCTTCAAGCTCTCTTCCGACAGAGAGAAGCTTGGCTCTTGGTACCCAGGAATCTCCCAGCTTCCTTTGCCAGCTCGCTTCAAGCACCGTTGACCAGAACTGTAGCTGGTTGGTGCGGTGGGCGGGGATGGTCCTCTCCGTGCCCACGTGTCCTCATACCTTCTGCCCTTGTTCTTGCTGGCCTGCCAATACACTTTTCGCTTATTCAGTAACGTGACCTTTAAAATGTGGAATAGATTCATTGGATTGAACTATGGCTGAGTCAGTTTTATTGCTAAGTGCCTTCCGCTGGACGACCTCTTCCTGTGACCCTCCTTTTTTGATGATCCCCACAAGTTTTGTATAATGTAATAAATCAGGACCGCGGCTCTCGTAGATGAGTCAGCAGATCCCTAAGTGCCCTTCTGGTCCTGAATAGCTAAACGATTGCTATCTGTCATATAAGCTGCTTTAAGGAATAACTTGATGTCACTGCTGGGGGGAAAAAAATCTTCAGTAAAGATTGTATTGGATCGAAAGCTTGTGTTTCAGTTATTGGAAAGGACATGCCGTCCCGGGAGTTTCCAGTGGGCCCCAACAGAAGGTGAAGGCAGAGGAGTTCCGTTCCCCTGCCAGACCTTCCACCAGTTAACCAAAAACTTTAAGTCTGGATTCCGCCGTCCCTTTAACTATTGTGGTCACATGTTTGGAAGTGGGAGGCCGATAGCCCTGTCTACCTGTAGCATATAGCAATGTTGTACCCCTATTTTAAGGGCACTACAGTGGCAACTTTTGGAAAACCGTGATACTGGTGAGGTCTGAATTGCTGGACAATGATTTTTAATGTGCTGTGGTGGCTCGGTGGTTAAGACACTGAACCGCAGACCAGGTCGATAGTTCAGCAGTTCGAGACCCGAGTGCCGCATGACAGAGTGAGCTCCCGTCTCTGCCCCCAGCTCCTGCCAATCTAGCAAGAAATTGCAAGTAGTTAAATAGTGGTGGGAAGGTAACAGCGTTCCGTGAGCCTCCGTGTCTAGTCACGCCGGCCACATGACCACGGGAAACGTTTTCGGACAGTGCTGCCTCTTCGGCTTGGAAACTGAGATGGGCTCCGCACCATTTGGTGTAGTGGTTAAGTGCGCGGACTCTGATCTGGGAGAACCGGGTTTGATTCCCCACTCCTCCACTTGCACCTGCTGATGTGACCTTGGGTCAGTCACAAGCTCTGGCACAGCTGTCCTTGAAAAAGAGCAGTTTGTGTCAGAGTTCTCTCAGCCCCACCCACCTCACAGGGTGTCTGTTGTGGGGAGGGGAAGGGAAAGGAGTTTGTAAGCCGCTCTGAGACTCCAAGTGAAGGGCGGGGTATAAATCCAATCTCTTCTTCTTCTTCTTAGAGTCAGATTCGACTGGCTTTCGGGCAAGGGAAAGCTTTATACTACAAATGTGGCCGTTAATTGTCTGTGAGTGTGTGAGTGGAGCCGGGAGGGTGAGCATAGCTCTGTGTCCAGCCAGAGACACACACTCTGCCGTGCATCCCGGAAGCCCCAATCCCATTTCCGGTGCTGGTTCTGCCAGAATGTTATGTATGAGCATAGTTCCCTCTAAGCTGAGTTGGTGTGAGCCAGCTCACAGATTTTTAGCCTCTGGCTCACACGTTTTTGTCTTAGCTCAGGAAGGATGGCTCCAAAGCAAACTGATTTATGCAGCAGCCAAATCACTCGCTCACAACTTTAATGCCTGTAGCTCACAAAGTAGAATTGTTGCTCACAAGACTACACAGTTTAGAGGGAACATTGCCTGTGAGGATGGTCCGCCAAATCTAGACTGAGCTTTTGGTAACCCATTGCTTTGACTCGCTTCCAGTCCACATGCGATTGTGGCATCCCTCTCTGTTCTAAACTTTGGTCCCTACAAAAGTTTCTTGTTTGTAAAAGCAGCCACTGGTTCTCACCTTATTTGATTCTTGATCAAAGACGGGTAGCCGTGTTGCCCTGGCCTGGCAAGCCTGGTCTCGTAAGATCTCAGAAGCTAAGCAGGGCTGACCCTGGCAAAGAATACCAAGGCCAGGAGGCGGAGGCAGGGAAGCCGCTTCTCTGAACGTCCTCCATGCCCCACTAGGGGTCGCCAGAGGTCATCGTGACTTCCAGGCATGGCACACGTACACACGAAATGCAAAAAATACAACAACAACAGATGGGTACCCATGTTTGTCTGCGGCAGCAGAAAAGAGCAAGAGTCCAGTAGCACCTTGAAGACTAACCAAATTTGTGGCAGGGTAGGAGCTCATAGGTAAAGGTAAAGGTTCCCTTGCTCGAAAGCCAGTCGAGTCCGACTCTAGGGTTGCGGTGCTCATCTCCGTTTCAAAGCCGAAGAGCCAGCGCTGTCCGAAGACGTTTCCGTGGTCATGGGACCGGCATGACTAAACACCAAGGCGCACGGAACGCTGTTCCCTTCCCACCAAAGTGGTACCTATTTATCTACTTGCAATTCCTTGCTTTCGAACTGCTAGGCTGGCAGGAGCTGGAACTAGAGACGGGAGCTCACTCCGTCGTGCGGCACACTCGGGTCTCGAACTGCTGAACTACTGACCTTCCACAGCCTGCAGTTCAGCGTCTTAACCACTTGAGCCACCGCAGCTCCATAGGAGCTCATACCCTGCCACAAATTTTGTTAGTCTTTAAGGTGCTCCTGGACTTGTTATTTGATTCTGACCTCAGAACACGAACTAATTCTCAGAGGGGCCTTTCTTAGGTGTGGAGACCTACGACCAAATCGAGGGAGCACCTACCTTTTGTGCAACTGATAATTGCGTTTTTTAAACAAAAGTTCTCCCCGGTGGGAAGAACATCGGCTTTCCGACATAATTTTAGATCGGTTAAATGGCACCACGAAGGCCGTTTACCACCTCCTCTCATTCAGATCCTTCCCTGCACTTGCTAATTGCACTTTTTGAGTCAGGAACTCCCATTGTAGAACTCTGGTAGTCTTGTCTGGTTTGGCCCTTATTTTTATGAAACTCAGAATGTGCGTCCTCATGAGGATCTCCTACCTGCTGGTTGAGACAGGCGTTTCCTCTGAGAAGTGTTTGAAGCACAACTCTGACACATTTCCCACTGCTGTGGCAGGCATTGGGTACAAAAGCTGCTTTGTTAATTTCCTGAAATTCAGATGTGCTGGTTTTCCTAAAGGGATCTTTGCTTTGTGTTCCTCTGTTTTTTGCCTTGTGTTACCGTTTCCAAAATGCTTCCAGATCACCTGTGGAAACAGTACTTGGGATGACTGCTGCCTCTCATCACTGAAAAAGTTTGGAAAGCCAGGTGAACTGTGCGGTGGCACAGAGGATTTATCCTTTAGTTAGTCTTTAAGGTGCTCCTGGACTTATTTGATTCTGACCTCAGAACACAAACTAATGCAGGTCTTGGGTGGCCATTCTCAGAGGAGCCTTTCTTAGGTGTGGGGACCTACAACCAAACCGAGGGAGCGCCTACCTTTAGTGCAAGTGATAATTGTGCTTTTTAAACAAAAGTTCTCCCCAGTGGAAAGAACATCGGCTTTCCAATATAATTTTAGACGGGTTAAATGGCACCGCGAAGGCCGTTTACCACCTCCTCTCATTCAGATCCTTCCCTGCACTTGCTAATTGCACTTTTTGAGTCAGGAGCTCCAATTATAGAACTCTGGTAGTCTTGTCTGGTTTGGCCCTTATTTTTATGAAACTCAGAATGTGCGTCCTCATGAGGATCTCCTACCTGCTGGTTGAGACAGGCGTTTCCTCTGAGAAGTGTTTGAAGCACAACTCTGACACATTTCCCACTGCTGTGGCAGGCATTGGGTACAAAAGCTGCTTTGTTAATTTCCTGAAATTCAGATGTGCTGGTTTTCCTAAAGGGATCTTTGCTTTGTGTTCCTCTGTTTTTTGCCTTGTGTTACCGTTTCCAAAATGCTTCCAGATCACCTGTGGAAACAGTACTTGGGATGACTGCTGCCTCTCATCACTGAAAAAGTTTGGAAAGCCAGGTGAACTGTGCGGTGGCACAGAGGATTTATCCTCTGGTTAACATCTGAACTGAACAGAGTTGCTGTCAGTTCTAGCCCGCGCTGATGTGAGCTACCAGGCTTGTCCCCAGCTCGCCATCCACCCAGCGGTTCGAAAGCTTCGGCGAGTAGATAAAATGGGTACCACTCCTTAGAGAGGGTGGGCACACTAAACCCCCACAGGGGAGGTGTTAGCCGGCGCATGGAATGTCCAGCTCGGAAGCCGGATAAAAAAGACCTCTTCGGCATTAAGAAGTCTGTAATGGGCCAATCCAGCCAGGCGGTGGCAGTGCGGCGCTACGATTCAAAGCAGCCCAGGAAGAACCAACGTCATCAAGCCAAGCCGAAAAGTGAATGCCTCCGGAACACGCCTGAAGCCTACAGCTGAACAGAAATCCCCGTTGGCTGCAAAATGTGTGTGATTTAAAGAATTCTATGTTGTCCTCCCTTACCCCTATGGAATTGTTAGTCCCTTGTGTGAAACCGTGCAACTGTAAATCGCTCAGAGCCAGCAGCTCTGCCGGATTGAGCGATCAATCAATCGAAAGGGGTGTGTGTGTGTGTATACAGGGTGTCAGATTTACATATATTCTTTTATCACATTGGCCAGGAATCCTTCCATCCATGCAAATAACTGAATGGGTGATGGCTGCCATCAGTTTAATGCCAATGGGAAACCTCAAGAGAGCCGGGTTTGATTACCCACTTCTCCACATGAAGCCTGCTGGGTGACCTTGAGCAGGTCACAGTTCTCTCAGAACCATCTCAGCCCCACTGGCTGCCTGTTTTGGGGAGAGGAAGGCGCCTATAAACTGATTTTGAGGCTCCTTAGGGTAGAGAAAAGCAGGGTGTGAAAACCCAACTATCCTTCTCAAACCTATCTGGGGGAGTGGCAAATTTGATTCTATTTGCATTTCTGACCATGACAGGAGGCAGCTGGCAGCATCTCTAGATTGGCATAAGTTTAGAAAAGGAAATAAATGCTCTTTGAGAAGGTCTGTCAGGAGGATGCAATACAACAGCGGTCTGGGCTCGACTTCTGCACTTTCCCAGCTTGCATTGCAGCCAGGAATCTTCTATTTCCCTGCAAGCTACAGGACCGAATTTCTTCGGGGCTTGGTGAATCTCACCCTGTGTTTAAATCCTTTTGAGTCCCTGCAGTGTAGCGCTAGGCAATCAGGCAAGAGTAGAAATCATCCCATTCTGATTTCCTGCTGGCAGTGGGCATGTAAAAAGAGGCAGAGGTGATTTTTGCCGACACCCCCTCCCTTGCTGCAACTCCCACAGCATTCCTGAGGGTTTACGGACCACTCCCGGGGACGGGAGAGATGGGAAAGGTACTGTTTATGCAACAGAAGTTTCAGGTCCTTGTTTGCGGGAGACAGCCAGGGCCGGAACTGTGTTAATCTAAATAAGGGAGCTGGAATGCGTTCCTTTCTCGGCGATTCCAGCACTTGGCAAAACCGGAATGAAACAGACTCCACAGCCGGTTGGTCACAGTTGTCTTTTT